TTAGCATTAATGCAACAGTTGTAACAATTTGTCGACAAACATTGCTGAAAATGTGTGATTGTAAAAAAATGTGTGATCGGTTGGTTTGCTGAGAAAAAATAATTCACTGAATTCTTTGAATGGGAATACAAAAGCATTATTATTAAATTATAATTAACTAATTTTTAGAGAATTTTATTAAGTTAAAAATACAAAAACATTTTGTCAACATGGAGAAAAAATTACCACAAAAGCATTCAAGAAACTTGAGCCATGAATGGATTCAGCCTAAAGACAGAATTTAAAAACAGAAGCTAATATCCTAATCCCTTCTTCCACCTCCACCACAATCTCTCCTAAATTGCACAGTCCCATAGTGGTCAAAGATTTCTACATTCGTTCAGCAACCGTGGAAGAATTTTTTGTGGCATTTTAGTTTAAGAGAGCTGCAATGGAGCAAATTTTGATGCAAGCAAAGTATCGCTCAGTTGATGATATTTCAACTCTTTGGCGATACATTTCCGTTAAAAAAGGTGGATATAACGGATAAAATAATTTAAATTAAGAACATTAGTAAATAATTTTAGTTAGTGAAATTAAAAAAATTATCAAAGAAAAAATTTCCAGCTTTTCTTTAAAATTCCCTAATTTTTCCATGTTTTTATCCAAATTTCCCAGATTTTTCCAGGTTTTTTCCAGTATAAAAAAAATTCCCTGATAATTCCAGGTTTACCAGGTGGGTGGCCACCCTGAAAAAATAAATATATTATATAACGTCGTTGCCAAGTGGAAGGATTAAAACAGGTCTTAGGCCGGGAAGGAGGGTACAAAATTTGTTTATTAATTATTAGTCAGAGCAGTCATGAGAGTGTGTAAAAGTGAACACGAAAAGTAGTGCTCCTTGGTTATATGTTAGGGAAAATCTTGCAAAGTAAAATCTGTAAAATGTCTTAATTTAGGGAAAGAGGGAAATCTTAGTAGTTGCTATTGGTTTATGAAATAGATAGAGCGTTTCCTACAGAGAGGAAAGGGAAAAATGTCCTGCTTTTAATTAAATGCATACTTGAGCCAAAAATAGATTTAAGAAGAGGATGTGGCTTTTAAAAGTGTGAGAAAGTATTTCGATTAGAATAATTCATTAGGATAACATAAAAAGTTTAATAAAAGCTTTTTATGTTACATCCCCCCTCGCCAAAAATGTTTAGTTACAATCAAAAAATTATAAAAATTATCAATTTGTAAAATCTTCCCTATGGTAGAAGCATAATTAAAATGAAAATAATCAAATTTATAATGTTAACAATATATAAAAGTAATATGAATTGAAAAAAAAAAAAATAATACACATTTGTACTCTTGGTAAAAATTTTAACACAGTTAAAAATCTGTAGTGGCATTATCAGCAAATTTAAAATTTTCATTTTCAACAGTTTTTCTGAGTTAACAGTTTTTTCAGTTCCAAGTCCTTTGTTTAAAGATCACAACACAGTTTTTTCACTATAAGAAGTATTCTTCATAATAACACAATTTAAGTTAACTCTTCAATGAGGATGATAAAAATTTATAGACATTTTTAAAAATGTGCAAGTTAGAATGTTAAACACATAATACAAAATACAGTTATAGAGGAAAAATTTCTATCTGGAATTCAATTTGAGTATCGTTTACCTTGTTTGAAAAAAAAATGACACAGTGGTTGTTATTCTGAAGTTCAAGACTTTAGTATTGTCTTCATTTCACTTTATTTATTATTTACCTTTCATATTTGTCACCTTAATAGCAAAATATTTGAAAATCTCCTGAAGTTAGGAATTTATTTTTTATCTTGGATTTGCACAATTCC